AAAAAAAAAAGAAGCATAGTAAGAAAAACCAAGAGTATTATAAAATACACTGCCAAGAAGAGGAAAAATTACATGAATGAAACTGCATGACGCATGCATTGTATTTATGATGCCATTTTATTTAACTTTCATTTCATTTGAGAAAAATGAATGTTATTTACATGGAGACTGCTAACACAATAACATTTTCAAATAATGTGGATTTTGAAGTGAGTAACAAACAAACTCGATGCATGCTGATGCTTGTACCACCATAACTTTTCACATAGATACCAAAATCAACACATGACAAGTACTTCTTCTCCAAAGAATAATGACAAAAGGCAGTTTTAACCTTTAATATCTAAGCAAGAAACTGGACAGGTACCCCCAGAAAGAGAGAGAGAAAAAAAAAAAAAAATTACCTATACCTACGTCAATTAACGACAAAATACTTATAATAGCACAGCCTAGAATGGGCGGAAAAGTCCAAAGGCAAATGTAATAACAATAACAATTAACAACTACACTATCACATACTTGTTGCACAAAGAAGTGTCACACGTGACAGATTTATACATAAATATACTCACAATTGTTGCACATAGAAGTGTCACACATGGCAGATTTCAACATAAATGTACTCACGATAGGCTTGTCATAAAAAGGGAAGTTCTGCATCTGTCGTACTGCATTGCCTGCGGCTGGCACATCACTGAACGCAACCCATGCCTGCCCACGAAGCTTTGCAGTTTTCAACGCGACAATGTCCAATATCCTCCCATACTGCGAGAACAAGGCATAAAGAGATCTCTTCAACTTTGTTCAAATTATTAAAGAAATGGAAGCATCAAAATCAGTATAAGAAAATTCATGAACCTTGAGCTATTGATCACATACCAATGGCCTTCTAACGAGGCAACTATAATCATACATATAACCCAGGTCTTTTGTAAAATGATTGTGCAGTATAATTAGTTATTTCTAGAAATTATAAGATCAATAATGAAATTGCCGGATTTAACATGACGTGTGGACAAGATTTGCTATCGTTTCAGAAAAGGCACACACAGTGACTTGCGGGCTCAACAAAGTTACATGGTTAGAAAAAAGTTACGGAACCAAAGTAAAATGATCCACCTCCAACTATATGGTACTGGGTCCCAGATAGATGGCATCCTTCAAAAATAAAAATATAGGTCACTAATAGTGAAGAAAAGAAATATTTTAAATACACTCTGGGAGTTCACATATTATTACCACCCCGGGTTCAGTATGAAAATCATGATATATGTAGTAAGAGGAAACTAAGACGACGTATCCCGACTGAACTAAAACAGGCATTTAAGGAGATTCATACTTTTGGTTTTACCTACATGAGGGATTTCATACATAAACCGGAAAACAATAATCAAGATATTTCAGTAGCTTCATCAAGATACAGTTCAATCACAATCAATGACAATGAGACAAAAACAAAAAAAGTTGGATTCATGACCTACAGAAAGTTTTGCATTTTCTTCCCCTGACATTAGTTGTGTTTGCAAGTACTAAACTAGGCATCAGATACTGTCACACTTTTTCCAATAATATACACTGACGGATTAATTCTCTGCTGCTTTAGAACCATATACGTATTCTAAACTATCCATTGATGACAAACCAAATAGGTATAGATCAGTAATGCCCATTTACACTACGACACTGCTGCACAATTCATCGACTCATTACCACAACTGATGTTGTAACTCACTCAGTTCATGACAACTGCGATACTTCCGGAATACACTATAGCCAGAAGCCAAAAGCACACGAATTCTACGTATGAAGCTTACTATGTACGGCCAAAACAATGCCCATTACTGAGCAGTCCACAGCTTTAACAGGAAATACCACCCAGAAAAAACCCATAATGTCAAAACATCCAGCTCCACAAACCTAAAATAAGACAATGGCTGCACAACTCAACGAGGAACTTTACAGTATTTGAGCACACACCCTAACTCATATCTAAGCAAAAAGGGCAGGGAAAAAAACCTTCTTGACTTTCTCGTTCAGATTCTTGACGTATATGATCTGGTTTGGAGGTATATCGCTCGTAAGCATCTTTGCCGCTGCTAATCAGATACAATTGGCAATGGATCTTCACTGTGTGCGAGTGCCCTAAATCAAAGAAAATGGAGAAGCACTTGAAAAATTCAAAAAAGAAGGATTCTGGCGGTATAAAAGCGAATAATATTTGGTGGGCTGACGAGCTTATGGGCTCTCAAAATAATACATGCCCGGCCCACTATTTGCCACAAAATTTTGCTATTTAAATCTGTACAGTTTAAACTACTAATTTTTATTTTATTAAAAAAAAATTGAGTAGACTCACTCAATTGTCTGTAATCTATTTGCTTGAGTAACTATATGCCAACATTTTTCCCTTAATTCCCTTGTTTACCCATTGGAGCATAACAGTAATTCATATACACTCAATTTTGATAATTCCCTTTTCTTATCAGATTTCTTCAAAAAAATTTCTGTGTTATGATCAGGCATATGGGTGAAGGCGAATATGTTCACGTGCGGCTCATTGTAATAATAAAGTGTTGGGGGGACGACTACAATTCCGTAACAGTATCATTCTGTTCCTTTATTTTAGATCGTTGGATATTCACAATTATTACTAGTTGAAACAATCGAGACTAGTATTTTCCAAAGTGTTGATATGTCCAAATGGTAGAAAGTAT